TTGCCACCCACAGATGACATGGGGATGGGTTCCTGGCCCTGAAATTCTGATCCCAGTCCAGAACCCTAATTGAAAGTTCATTCTCACTTCTTGGAGCCTTTGAGAAGGGTTGGGGTTGAAAACTGGAGGTCTGCTATGTGCCCTAGATGTGGCCAGGACCTTTATTCTTGAAGTCTTGAAGGACCAGTGTAGGGAAGACCAAAGCAATTCCTGTGAAATATGTCCCATTGAGCTCAGCTGCTGAGAACATTCCTGAGGCCTGAAGAGGTCAGAAGCAAGTGAGGATGAGGCCAGGAGCAGGCGATGACAGGGTCGGCAGTGACTCAAGAGAGCAGGCCTGAAGGAAACCCTGGGTGGCAGAAGAGGGCTGAGAAAGGCTTCCTGCTGGAGACCAGGTGATTCTTCATTCTGTTTTTCAGCAACTGTTTACTGAGCATCTACCAAATGGCAAACTTTAACCAAGTTGCGGGGGGCAGGGAGGAGAGCAGTGGACAGAACCAGGTTCCCAACTGTGGAGCTCATGTTTGGGAAGTACAAATAAGACGAAATGACAAGTGACAAAGACTGTTTATATAAGGTGGCCTGGGAGGAGCTTTCTGGGAACCTGCATCTGAACAGATCTCCAAAGACAAGAAGTGAGCTCTGCGACATGGGTGGGGTGGGTAGGGGACAGTGTCTAAAAAGCAGCAGCCTTAAGGTGGGAACAGAGGACATGGGACTGGAAGCAGTGTGCAAGGGCCCAGAGTGGCAATGCATGAGGCTAGGGCAGTAGCCAGGTGGTGACTCACCACAGGCCCATCCAGGTTCCCAAGGTCCTGAAAGGAAAGACCTTGAAAGGAAAGACAAACAGGAGTTTAAGGGAGGTTAAGAAGTGGGGAGGAAATTGTGAGGCTGTTCCAAGTAGGGTCAGTGTTGGCTGGGATGGGGTCCACTGGAATCTCTGGGCAGAGGCAGCAGTGCTTTCCGGATCTGTGTCCTTGAGTGCAACACAAGCTCACAATGGCTCCACCCCACACATCACACATGCATGCACACCAGTAAGCAGATGAAGAAAGTCAGCACAGGCTCCCTTTCACATATGTGCAACAGTGTTGCATGAACACATGCATGCAGACTGCCTGTTCACATGTAGACATTTGTCAGACTATCTAGAGAGGCATAACATTGGTGCCGAAGGGCTTTAGACCAAGTCCCACCCAGGACAAAGACGCCGAGACCCAGAAAACAGAAATTGCATCACTTGGTGCCCTGCAGATCTCCACAAGTTCAGTCTTGTACACCAGCCCAAGGCTCTTTTCACAGACCCATGTTCTCTCCCTGGAGACACGCTGGTGAAACAAGTCCCAGCGGAAGTGAGCCAGCTTCCTCCCAAGTATTCCAACAAGCTATGTGGACGGCATGTGGCATGAGGCAGAGACCCACTCTGCACCTCCGATAGGATGGTTCAGCGTGTGCTGCAATAGCATACCTCCGAGTATCTCAGGCTCTGTAGCCCTTTCACCATTTCTCTTTCTGAGCTTTGCCTCCTCCTGGCTCCCTTTCTCCACATTTGGGATCCCCCCATACCTCCCTCTCTGCAGACCCCTCCCTGCCCCACTGGCTGTGATTCTGTTAACCTTCTCTCTCGCTCCAAGTCACTTCCATTTCCCTGTCTCTGTTTCACTCTAATTTTTCTCTGCTCACTCTGACTCTTTCTCTCCACTTTCTCCTTAGGATCTTTTTTTTTTTTCCTTCCAGGAAAAACTGACGTGGTGCAGAGGCCCCTTTGGGCCTCTCTGGGGTGGGGGCTTCCGGCTGCGCAGCCGCAGCTGGGGTGGGACTGGCCGCCCTAGTTGGAGGTGGCAGGACAGAAGGGAAAGGGAGGTGGGAGGGAGAAAGTGGAGTCTCTGCAGAATAGGAAAGAGAGTGAAGGGAAAATCATGGAGGGGGGGAAATGAGCTCCACCCTCCCTGCTAGGGAGACCAACTGTCCCCATTCACTGGGCCTTTGTAGATAGAGTAGTGAAGATTTCACGTCCCAGGAAAGTGAGCAGGCAAACCAGGGCAGTTGGTTGACCATTCTATAAGCTTCCAGAGAACCCCTGGAGCTGAGATCAGGGGTAGTGGGGGGATGTCATTCACCCCCCTTTCCTCCCCTCCAAGCCACATGGTCCTTTGAGGGTTGTTAAAGACCAGGATGGCATAGAGGGTCTGAGATGGGCTCTCTAATCTCCAGCCTCTGGGTGACAGTCAAAGTCCCACATACCTACCTAGAAGCCCTACCTCTGGTCTGAACAAGGGCAGTCCAAACAGTGGGCAGGGACTTAGCTCCAGGCTAGCAGGAGAAATAGGAACCTGGTTCCGGGCCCTTCTCCTGGCCCGGCTGTATTATGTCCACTGGGGTGGTCTTTGTAGGAGGCGCTTCAGCTGGAGTTATCAAGGGGACAGGAGACAGCTGCCCAAGAAGTTGCATCCTGGAATGGATATGAACTGCAAATGGGAATGGTCCACATGCCCCATTGTGAAAACACATGGGTCATATGGAGTCCACTCAACCAAGTAGCCTTTGTCTCATTGCCTTCCTCGTGGCAGAGGGGGCACCACTGCACCCTGAAGGCTATGGGAAGACCTGGGCTAATGTGGAGAGTTGCCAGTCCCTCTTCTGCCTGGGTAAGTCACTTCCTCTTGCTTCTCCTGCCCTCAGCCTCCAGGGTTTTTCCTGAAGTGCGATTCAGGGGACCGTTAGGTATTTGGCTGCCATCAAGGGCAGGAACTTAGGGGGCCAGGGCTGCTTCTCCTGAAATAGCTAGAAACACACTTACCCACCACCCCAAAAATCATGGCTCTTCTACATTGAATGCAATCTTTTCTGAAATGTCCTCATCATAAGAACAGCATGACCTTCCTTGGGTACATCCTTCCATCTGGCCTGTAGTCTCCATCTGTGCCATAAGTAGGAGAAACACGCTTTACTTTGTGGCATCTGATGAGGACCCAATTCATTCATTCACCCAAGGGCTGTGTATGGAGCCCCTTCTGGGTACCAGTTTCAACAGCAACCTGCAGGACGATGCACCTACCCACAAGAACAAATAACTACAGGTTAGAGCAAGAGCAGTAAAAGACAGGGAGGTCTGTGAGGGCAATTAGTGGGAGACCGACTTCAGACTTGGGAGTTTCAAGAGGGTATCTAATGTTGTGCCAGAAGGAAGCAGTCACAACAGGAGGGACATGGTGATGGAGAAGGTGGTTTCTCTGTCCTTGGTGAGTTTTGGAAAAGTAGGGCAGGGTGGGGACTCTGAGCTCCCTGGAGGGCCCTGCAGGTGGAGCTGATGGCATGGCCTTTGTGCACTGACAGTGTTCTCAGAAACCTAGTAAAGTGCTAATCACTAGGAAGCTGCCCCTGACTAAAATGAAGGCCATGGATTCCTTTGCTTTGTTGAACCTAGATGTGTATGCCTCCAGCCTCTGCTTATCCCACCCAATTCAGAACGCTCCCACACAGGAAACATGATACAAGAGAAGCCGTCCTGGATAGGTGACAGGGGAGGACACATCTAAAGTAGTCTACAATAACATCCCTAGTATCAGACCTGGAGTCTGCAGGCAGCACTCTGGAGTCTTCAACAACCTTACTTGGTGACAGGGAGGTGGTGTGAGGAGCTGAGATGAGGTCCTTGGATATTTTCAGCCTAAGATGATACCTGTTTTTCCCTGGCCTTGCCAAGAAGGCAAGTTGAGTCACCAGCAAAATCTATCAGGTTAACAGACAGGAATAGGAAGTATGGGTGAAGGCTGCTGAGGGGGAAATGAACAGGTATATTCTGTAGAGGGCAGAGGGGTCCACTCTACAAAGCTCCTTCCTGGGGCTCCCTCGTCTTTCAGACTCTCCTCCAGTTCCCTTGGTTTGGGTCTCTCTGTCACTCCATTCCCATCCCTCTTGTTTGAGGAGAAAGGTGTCACATCTTCCTCCTTAGAGGTATATGCCTCTTTCACATAGTGTGTGGGTGATGGAGCTCAGAGGGGGCTATGTTGACCTCACTAGCATCCAGCATCAGAGATAGGACCTGAGCACTGTGGGAGCTGAGCCACAGAGAATATTCCAGAAGTGAGGCCCCTCAGTGTTGTTCTGTGTGCTGGGTCCTGGACCATGAACTATATGTCTTTAGGCCTGGTTGTCCAGAATCCCAGCCAGGGACACATCTACCGGACTGGCTCCCGCTCTCTCTGTCAGACATCCTGACTGCCTCCCTGTTCCCCACCCTCTGCTCTGCTTGGGGCTGGGCCAAAGTCTTGGGAGTTCCCTGCCCAACAGCTTCGGCCTGAAGGATATATTCGTTTTAAAAAAAAAACCAAAAAACATGTCTAGCTTTTTGGCTTCTCACCCAGGGGCTGGAGCCTCTTGGCTGTTTCATATACTTTGTTTCATACATTCAGTTTTTCACAGACATCCCCTTTCATGAGCACACAGGTGTACACACACACACACACACACACACACACACACACACACACACTTACTTGCACACACAAACTTACACATACCAAGACAGACACACAGGGTGCTACATCCATATCCAGACACCAATTCACATCCACACATAAACACACACAGTCTCATAGCCGTACAGACACACACAAATGTCCTCAAACAGTCCCCAGCTCTCATGGGCACAGAGTCTATTCCTGCATCTGCCTAATATAAAGAGATTCATCCACACACAGCAATATCCACTCTTCCCCACCAAGTCCACACGTGCACACCCAGTGACACACACAAACACCAGCATAGCCAGGCCAGGAGCAAGGGGCTGCTCCTATTTTTTCCTGTTTGAAGTGAAGTTTGAAGTTTCCCACTTTCCAGGAGATCCAATTTCTCACCCTTCCCCCCATTAAAAACCCTTTCCGGCCTCATCTTTTCTTGGGTCCTGTCCAGACTGTGCTGTGACTTTAAGGAAGTTGGAGCGAGAGAGGAGAGAGAGAGAGAGAGAGAGAGAGAGAGAGAGAGAGAGAGAGAGAGAGAGAGAGAGAAAACCAAGAGAGAGAGAGAGAGAGAGACAACCCCAAATTTGGCCTCTTTTCCCCTCCAGTTTCTAGTGTCACTTATGAAACAGTCCCAGTTGTAGAGCTCATCGTTGTTTTCCTATAAGAAACACTGGCTGTAGCCCCTACTTAGTGCTGTCCCAGGCACCGTGTTCCAGGAGGTGTGCAAACCAGCCTGCCCCTTCCTCCAGCATCCTTGCCCTGCCTTAGTTGTCCTGGCCTTACAGACTTTTGAGCCATCCCGTCCTTTGGTGCTTTGGTTTCCATCTGAGAAGAGACTCAGCCTGACTACGGAAGAGCAGCTTGGAGGTACGTCAGGGAGGAAGGGGGCCCCCGTGGCCAAGGGGTTATGGAGGTGGAAGCCAGTTGGACTCAGGGATGACTGTGTTTAACACAACCCCTGTGGATTTGGGGGTACTTGGGACCCTTGGGACCGGCTTTTGCTCAGAGACATCCAGGGAGCATCTGCTTGGACAGGCTGAGCCCCGGAACTCCCAGCTGCATTTGCATTGAGCTTCTGGCCTCCCAGCCTCAACTGAGAGGTCCTGGCGGGTTTATTTAGGCAGCTGCCTGGGGTAGTTTGAACAGAACAGGCCACAAGGCGGGTGGGGCAGAGGCCGGGGGTGTGCATTGCATAAGGGGCCTTGTCTGGACTGGGGCAAAACATACCTATGGGGGGCTCCAGTGGGAGGGTCTGTGGCCAGGATGTGGGAGGGCAGAAGGGAGGTTCTGTGAAGTGCTGGGGGAGGGGGTGACTGGAAAACAGATTTGGAGTCATAAAGTCAGCTAGACTGAGCTGGAGAGAGCTCTGTACCGAGAAGCTGGGGGTCTGCTTCCATCTTGTCTTCACTCTGACTGGCTGCACAACCTTGGCAAGTCCCAGCCCTTCTCTGGGCCTCAGTTTCCTCTCCTACAGAGTGGGGGTGGACTAGGTGGTGTTGGATTCTGGCTGGGTTAAGTGAGGCAGGGCCTCCTAATGGGCTGGGGCTGGGGCTGGGAGAGACAAGTGTCTTTTGTGGATCCTTGGGCTCACCTGGGTGGTATGTCCTTCTCTATAGGAGGTACTATGCGGGAGCTGAGCCTGCTCTACTGGGCGGTTCTCCTGGGCCTGGTGCAAGCCTGTCCTGAGCCCTGTGACTGTGGGGAGAAATATGGCTTCCAGATCGCTGACTGTGCCTACCGTGACCTGGAGGCCGTGCCCCCTGGCTTCCCAGCCAACGTGACCACACTGAGCCTTTCAGCCAACCGGCTGCCAGGCCTGCCAAAGGGTGCCTTCCGGGAGGTGCCCCTTCTTCAGTCACTGTGGCTGGCACACAATGAGATCCGTACAGTGGCTGCCGGTGCCCTGGCCCCTTTGGGTCATCTCAAGAGCCTGGACCTCAGCCACAACCTCATCTCTGAGTTTGCCTGGAGCGACCTGCACAATCTCAGCGCCCTGCAGTTGCTTAAGATGGACAGCAACGAGCTGGCCTTCATCCCCCGAGATGCCTTCCGCACCCTCCGTGCCCTGCGCTCACTACAGCTCAATCACAACCGCCTGCATGCTTTGGCTGAAGGCACCTTTGCACCACTCACTGCACTATCCCACCTGCAGATCAACGACAACCCTTTTGACTGCACCTGCGGTATCGTGTGGTTCAAGACGTGGGCCCTGGCCACGGCTGTGTCCATCCCAGAGCAGGACAACATTGCCTGTACATCACCTCATGTGCTGAAGGGCACCCCACTGAGTCGCCTGCCACCCCTGCCTTGCTCTGCACCCTCGGTGCAGCTCAGCTACCAGCCCAGCCAAGATGGGGCTGAACTGAGGCCTGGCTTTGTGCTGGCACTCCACTGCGATGTGGATGGACAGCCAGCCCCACAGCTTCACTGGCACATCCAGACCCCCAGTGGCACCGTGGAGATCGCCAGTCCTAACGTGGGCACCGATGGACGTGCTTTGCCTAATGCTCTAGCAGCCAGAGGGCGGCCACGCTTCCAGGCCTTTGCCAATGGCAGCCTGCTCATCCCTGACTTTGGCAAGCTGGAGGAGGGTACCTATAGCTGCCTGGCCACCAATGAGCTAGGTAGTGCTGAGAGCTCTGTGAATGTGGCACTGGCCACTCCAGGAGAGGGAGGAGAGGATGCACTAGGACGCAGGTTCCACGGCAAAGCGGTTGAGGGAAAGGGCTGCTACACGGTTGACAATGAGGTGCAGCCATCCGGGCCTGAGGACAACGTGGTCATCATCTACCTCAGCCGTGCTGGGCCCCCTGAGGCTGCAGTAGCAGCAGAAGGGAGCCCTGGGCAGCAGCTGCCCAGCCTGCTCCTCCTGGGCCAGAGCCTCCTTGTTCTCTTCCTTGCTTGCTTCTAGCCACACCCTGCATGGCTGGCTGGAGCAGTCCCAGGGCCTCCCTAACTCCTCCTGACTCTGCCAATGTTCCTTCTAAGTACCATAGGGCCTGGAGTTGGCAAGGCCTGAGGCTGGCCTGGGGACTTCACATATTCCTACCTCCCCATCTAAGCTCTTCCAGGCCACCCACTACTCCATCTTGTAGATCTGCTCTGCTCAGAGCTAGCGACTAGGATTAGAACTGCATCCCAGAACTCACCGTCTGGTGCTAATTGCTGCTAACAGCATTGCCCATGCCCCCACCAGGGGCAGCATGCTAACAGGGCAACAGTGATGCCCTAACCTGACCTACCCACTGGGAATTCTAGGCACTGGGATGAGAAACTGGGGAGGCCATCCAGGTGGGTACTGGGACTGGGCTGGAAGAGTCTGGAGTGGCCAGCACAGGAGCCAATAAGAAGGCACCACAGACAAGGGCTGGGAAGGGCTTAGAGGCTCTCCTGGCCCCTGGTGTCCTCTGGTGGAGATGTGGGACTCCCTGGCTGGGCCTCCTTCTCCTCTCACCCCAAATCCCCCAACCTGTGCCTACCTCTTGGGACACCTACCCCTCCTTTCTCTTTAAGTATACATCTATTAGTCTGCCTCTCCAAAGAGGCCAGCAAATCTGGGGTGGCAGAGAAATAAAAGCATTTCTGATGCTCCCCCGTGTCTGCCTGGAATTCTGTTGGGATCTAGGAGTCTTTATTGGGACAGGATGCCCACATTGAAAGTTGTACCCTCCCAGGACAGGGACCTGTACTCACACAGTACCACAGTACCCGCCATTGGGTGAGCTGAGCTTTAGATTTTCCTTGTTCTGAAACTAGCCCATAAGACAGATGGGGTAGGATCCTGAGCATTGCTTTCTGCATTGGAAAGGGGTAAGGCCATGGAAGGACCTGGGTTGTGGCCCCAGGAAGTGTTAGAGGTAAAGAGGAATGGAAGCAGGGAGGACAAATGGGGTAGGAGGGACAGTGGGGAAGCAGGAGACAGAGGACCAGGGAGAAACTGAGGGCAGCCTAGAGGGAGGAGACAGTGGGTAGTGTACTTTCTTCTCCCTTTCCAAGAAGAGGAAATGGTGCCTGTGGGGATGCCCCCACAGAGTAGGAGACTCTGACCTGGGGTAGGATGGGGAGTTGTAGGGGAATGACCTGCAGGTCTCTCAGTGTGGCGGATATAGATGGGTCTGACTCTGGAGACCCTGCAGAACTTCAGACCTGTGCTGGGTCAGAGGTGTCTCCCTTCTGCCTGTATCGCCCCATTTTTCAAGATTGTGTGTGCACATACAGCGACAGTGACCTAAAGGGGAAGCACAGCCCCTCTGCCCAGAGCCCCAGGACTGCTGAGCTCAGCAAAGTAGAGGCAGGAGGTTGAAGAGTCTGGAGTAGCAGCTGTGAGTTTGGCAGCTGGCCAGCCTCTCCCCACCCTTCCAGTCCACATACAGCCCCCCCCCCTCACCCTTCTCCAACTTGCATCTCAGGCTGTCCATATCACCAGAAGCCAGCCAGGTCAAGGATGTCTTCACATCTAAGAGAAAGCATCAGGATGGAGCCAGATTCCATATGCTATGCCTCTTTGGGTAAGTTACTTCCCTTGTCTGGGCTTCAGCTGTGTTCAAACTCAAATGACAGCGTGCTGGGAATGTAGCCGAGTTGGTTGGTTGGTTGTAGCCAAGTTGGTTGAGTGCTTGCCTAGCATTCATGATGCCCTGGTGTAATGATACATGCCTGTAATCCCATCACTCAGGAGGTAGAGTCAGGAAGATCAGATTCTTGAAGATTCTATACAAGTTTGAGGCCAGCCTGGGCTACATGAGACCCTATTTCCAAAAACCACAAAGACAAGATAGTGTTTAAAGGACCAACTGATGATGCTCTAGACTTGACAATTCTGACTTGGAGCCCAACATCTCTGCTCCACTCACAGCTGAGCAAGCTGAGCATCTTGGAGGTACACCCAGCATCTAGCACCTGGCAGAGGTAGGGAAACAGTGAACCAGCTACTCCCCTGCTTTAATCCTCTGTGGTTCCCACTGTCCTTAGAGTGAAGCCCGAATTCCCCAGCTATCCATGAGCCCTCTGATTGGCTCCTCCCAAGTGATCCACACCTCTCTGCACTATTTTGAAATACCCATGATGCTATGTCATCTTCTGAATCTTTATTTACCCTATCCCCCCAACACCCAAACACACACCTTTTTCTTGTTCTTTATTTGACTAAATCAGTCTTCCACATCACCTCCTCTAGGAAGTTTTCCTGGATGTTCCCTGACTCCATTGTGAACCAGGCTCTATCCTTAGATCCATATTGTCCTGGTGTCTTGTAACCCAGTCTAACCATCATATTCCATTGTGAATGTCAAGGACGGAGGCAGAATCTGGGTCCTCTTTTGTGTCTTTGTGGATTACTGATATCCCACATGGAAGGCATTTTGCAGCGGGTTAAGGGGGGCTAGAGCTTGAGTTCTTCGGCCTCCTGGGTAGCCTAGAACATGGGTTTGAGCTCCCAAGCTGCTCCTCTTTGGTGGGTGTTTGAGGCTATAGTCAGGGGATAGGGGCAGAACAATCTTGAAACCCCCGACCCAGATCTGGGGGTTATGGTGGGCCACACCCATAGTACCTCTGTGAGTCATGCATCTCCCATCTCCCCCATGCCTCCCTTCCTCTGCATATTCAGTCTGCTGCCATTAGCCTCACAAACTCTCCATGTGAGACCCTTTATTAGCCTCACAAGCCCTCCCTGCTCCACACCTTTAATCCCAAGTCCCCATCATTACTGCAACCTCTCCTCCCCGAGACCTTGCCCATTCCTTAAAATCCAGAAGCCCAATGTCCATACTTCTCAGGAGTGGCATCATAAGGTCCCCAGTCTTCATCACCCAAAAAAGAGGGGTTCTCTCTGTCCTCACCCAGTGTCCATCTCAACACTCAGCTGGAATCCCCAAAGCCTTTAGTCTACCAAATCAAGTGTGGATTAGGTTTTCTGACAGTGTGGGTGGTTCCCCTGCAAAACTTGCCCCTATGTGGAGGATGGTTTCTCAGGGGCACGTTTATTACAGAGAGCACACTAACTTCTTTCATGACAGCTAAAGGCATTAAACTACAAAAAATCTGGCTCTAGGATTGGGCAGCTCAGTGGGGCCTGACTTGGCTACACCTCTTTCCTCCTAGGCAGGCCCCAGGAGACAGGAGAAGGGGGAAGAGAGAGGAAGAGAAAGCTGGGGCAGAGAGGAAGCTCACATAGGCTCTGCCTCCACAGTGGGAGGAGCAGGGCTGAGGTGGGGCCAGCTAGAATGGGCGGTGTCCAGGCCTTGCATCACCAGCCCAGAGCTGGGAAGGCCTGAGTGAGACCCAGCAGGCTGGTTGCTGAGCCAGGATGGGGAGAGGCCTGGTTTTGGCTCCTCCAGCTCCCAGACTGAGAGCCTATCCCACCGTATGTTTTCTCCAGAGTCCTCGCTGGTAGCCTGGTGGCCAAGCACAGACCAGAGTCTTCTTGAGGCGGGTAGTGTAGACACAGTGACTCCAGTCCTATGATCCCATACGGGAACTGCTGGTGGAGCTGTGGCTCAGAGGAGGAACTGACATGGCCGGGGGTGG